ATTGTGATGTTAATATTTGTATTTTGTTATAGTTTCTATTTTTTTAACTTTATTGGAGTTTCTATGTTTCCTTCTGAACTGCATTTTGTGTTTATATTGATACTTAATTATGGCTATAGCCATATTGGATTTGATACCTTGAAAGGTAAAACGTGCATCTGAACTGGAAGGGTGCAATTTTGGACCTATACGGAGGCATTCTTCCAGAATTGGAAACACATTGTGTTATTTTTGACTGAAAACAGTGTAATATTGTTTAGGTAATTATCTGTATTTTTTGATTAGTAATAGAACAGATTCTTACCTAGACAAATTGATCTCCAATTGGATTAACTAGGTAAGGCGCGTATCTAAACTTATAGAACTGTTTTTCCGAAATCAGAGCCCACTTTGAATCTTACAACCACTAACTCATGAGAATTTTGCTTAGCTCATGGAATCTCGCATAATTTTAAATCATTTAGTGAATAAAACATCATTGAAATTACAGTTTTACCGAGGAAATCACTAGCGAACATCTACAGGTATGATAATTCAGAAAATGAGTAATTGGTTGGCAAAGATTCTTGATTTGAACTACTATTCAGTTCACATTGGACATGTGGACTAAGTTAAGAATACTGAGGTAAGTGCTACTAATTTTAATCGATTATTTTGTAACTTCTCTTAATTCTTATGATAATTCAGAACTTTAGATGGATTATTCCAGTTTTAATTCTGATGATTCTCTAGATACTAAATACTCTTCAGACGATTCTAAATATCAAGTCGATCAAAAAATTAAAATCATAATTCTTGACAAGTAAGAAGATCTAGCAGAATCGCAGAAAAACTAAAACCATATCATAAACACTTAAACAGACCTCCGACGTGTGGTAGGTGTGGTGAATAGTAAATAAACTTACTGAGCAATCAAATATTTTATATTTCTCTTAAATTTGATGCGCAAAAATACAAAATTCAGACTGTGTAATTTACATCCGAGTTTATGGTTATGCCTTGTTAAGGTTCTAGATATATTGGCATTATCAGTATTTTGTTAGATTATTTTAAATCCATGCAAATATATCATTACATAATTCAAAAACTGTGATCAGATGGCTTCTATATATTCCAAATAGGCTTAATTTACCCAGACCATGAATAAATTTAATTTGTTGGCAACAATAAACCTGATTTTCTTCTGTCATCATACAAGACAAGAAATGTATTCGATTTTCAACTGACAGAATAATTAGAGGTTTTCGTAGTTACAGTTTGTTTGTCCTTATGCCGTATTTATATTTATGTTGAATAACTCTACGTCGTATATATTTTATCATAATCTCATTGCCTTAAGACTAGTTAGAAAAGCTTTGTTGAGCATCCACAGATTGAACGTGATATGGTATGAAATATTAAATAGACAGGGCATGACTGGGATTGTCACTTGTGTTTCCATGTACTGAAATAATTATTGGTTAGGTCGCTGATCAGAAACTGACGAACGTTGGCCAATAGCGTTAGCAAGAGAACTAAAGGGCTTGACCACTGCAACACTTAACTTCTTACCGTTTTTATCGATCTACGAGTAACGTCAAATCCAAAACTCCTCAAAATGATGGTCATCTTCATATTTGTGGTAAATAAAATGTTCAATAGTTATCCTTACTCCTATGAAAATGCGTGAAACAGACTAATTAGGTAAACAATTTTCCTGACTATTCACAGTTTTCTTAAACTCACTTAATTTGAATATCTACATTTATTGACTTCAGAATTGCTGTTTAAAGTTAACCCTGACTGTTCTTCTACTGTTCTCTTCTGTGCTTGCATGAAGCACAAATTATCGCTTTTTGAAAAAACTTTATTACTACATTCATATACACATTTTGGTCGATCAAACTCCTTAGGACAAATTGTGCAAATATAAACAATTATAAGATCTGGCCACTGCTTCAACTAAACTCTAGTAAACTCATAGCGCTAACGGTTAATAATAGTCTTATGTTGACTATAGATATGATTTTAGATCCATGAAAAACAATTTTCACTATAGATAACGACCACTGCCTCATTCATTGCAATAATATTTGGTGTTTTTTTAGCCGTTGCTGAGCAGGAAACAACTGGGAATATTATCATTCTGAAAAACATCCCTTACTATCCTCTTCCTCTGAACGAAATACTTGTTTCGATACGGAAATAAACGTGAGTGGAATTCGCTCCATTGAAGAACACGAAGAAATACTGTAAAAAGGGAATGAGAGTGTGAAATACCGGAAAATTTATACGCCTTCAACAAAACGGTGATAAATAGCACTGCTTAGCCCCACAAGGCACGATAAAGGAGTAACGGACAGAGGGAAAAAAGACTACAGAAATTTATCTCAGCCTTTATTTGAGTTGTTGATAAAATTAACCAATTCGAGATAGCTCTAAGCCTCATTTTCATGCACTCAAAGATGAGGAAACCACCACAGCTGGAAAGGGATTTGTGAACCATGCCAGGCGCTTGGATTCAAGGAAGAGATCTATGTCTGTACTTTGGATCAGACTTAAAAAAGGAAGATAGAAAGCAAATACATCCGAATACTGATTACATAGAAGCAAATAAGTAAGGTAATAGGAGCAGTAGAGCTAAAATCTGGTATTGTCTAGAAGACCTAGTAACGACAGCGGAAAGAATTGCAAAATAATGCGGAAAATATGAGACAACTATTTGATAAAAAGAAGAGGCTCGCTAGATGGCGCTGTCAATAATAATAATAATAATAATTTCTTCTCAAATAACAAACATGTTACAAGAGACATGCCAATTTACAGGCAAGATCAAAATGTTAAGTAAGATTAGCAACATATTTCTTTTAAAGCGGTATACAGTTACTGAAACATTTCACAAGATTCATTGTATTCTTAAAGATGGAATGCTCAATGCGAATAATTGGCGCAAGTTACGAAGGTTGCGTTACGACGATCATCTTATGGACTGAGAAACGATTCATGGTAGAGATCGGTTTTCATATAACAAGAATTGATGTGGTAAATGGAATGGTCAGTTGAGAACAAGGGATCAATCACTGACATTTAAGAGTATCGGGAAAAGGGGCAGAACACTTTGTGGAGCTCCTGCACAGATCAAGCACTCCGGTTTTCAAACAAGCACCTACAGAAGTTCCCATAGATCGTGATCGAGGTAATCAGCATGGTAATGATAGAAAGTGAAGGTAAGCAAGCATCAAAACCAGGCAACGTACCAGCTGGACCCCTGAACTAAGACTTGGAGGTAACCGTAAAGATGTGAAATATTCTATTCAGAAAGATTTGATGGCAGACAGAAAGACTGGATAGTAGGACACTATGCAACTGCATTGATTCTCACTGAAAAGACCATTCCTTTTACTCTACAGTACGCTTTTTTGTGCTACAAACTATAATACAAGATGTAACTTACGAGGTACTTTGTAAATTTGATTCGTTTTCTTTTTAAAGTTAGATGCGATGAAATTGAGAGCAGATGGCATTTTGATTATTGATTACAAGTCACCCAAATTACCTTCTGTGCTATTCCGATAGACATAGTCTGGTGTAAACGAACAAACTTTACTTTACTAACCTAGCGATCTGCCGTTACATCGGTCTATGTTCGATCCTGTAACCTACTGAAGATATGGAAGAAAAGAGATATCAGTAAGTAGGAAAATCACAGAAGTGTCGCACTGCTATCAGTACTAATAGAAGTTTTTAATGGGGAGTTGTTGGACTAAAGAAGTACTCAGTTAACTCCTGAATTTCAGGTCACATAGGTTATTTTTGTATGGATCGATCAGGTATCAACGCTTCTGATCGCTGTTGGTTAATTGACTGAGTGATGCATATCGCTTTAAATCAACGCTTTTGGTTATGAGAGAGCATTCAATAGCCTAGATTTATAACACTGTAGAGTTTTCTTCGAAACTATGAAGAAACTAAGAAAACCGTTACCACCATAGGGAATTCCTGTGACAATTCATTCCAGACTCCTGCTTGGAAAAGAAGCTCATAGAATCATCATTCCTGCGTCTGTAAGCTGTTGATGGAGTCATTACGGTTTACAAAACTGAAAAGATGTATGGAATACAGTGAATACCTCTAATGAAATTAAATGGCATGGATTGAACGGGTGACTTAGGTTTTCTACCATACATACTGTTGCATATATTTGTGGAGTCCGTCTGCAGGAACAGACATTGGCACTCACGAGGAATACATTAAAATCCCCAAACGAGACAATTAAAACCAACCAAATCAAATGGTGAAGCTAGTGGATTGTTGCAAGCCTTTACGTAATTGGGGTGTATCATTGGTTAACGATCAGAATCTGGTGCAAACGTACGGGGACAAATTAGCGGAGAAAAGATTAGCGTTCTTGAAACTGAGGAATATTCAGAATTCAGAATCGTCGACCGATATTGTAACCGGAATTCTCTACACTACAATTTCCTGTACTACTTCATGATGTTGAGTAGTCTCATTGTAATAAACGATCAGGTTGTAGCTAAGAAAGTTTATATTTCATTGATCAAATAAAGCAACAGAAAAAGTTTTTTACTTAGGTCCGAAATGAAAACGAAAAAATTATAGATTACTAATAGAGTTCGAGATTGGATAACTGGCATTCTCAGCAACAGGAAACTAGTGGTAGTAAACAATGTTTGTTACAATGGAAATCCATAAAGAGTGGAGTTTTATGGGCAAAATTTCTACGTCCTCTTTTTCTAATTTGTATGCAATGTCTAACAATTATCACAAATTCATCCTTTTCATGTTTAACAAATCTATAAGATAGGTGTAGGTTGCTCGATACTTATCCTTACGTATGTTGGTTAAAGATGAAGATGGATGATTCTCCCTCCCCTCTAGAAAAATCCCAGCACAGACTCGAGGGACGAACAGCTTTCTACTTGCACCTCGAAAAAATTAGAAAGTTTTGGACAAACAGCTCTGATACTTGGCAATTTCTCAAGGTCGCAGTGTAGGGTGTAAGGTTTGAATGTGATCGTTGTAACGCGTCTCGTGTTACAGCGTCACTTCATGCTTCGTGCTCGCAACTTGTGTACAGATTTAACTTGTGCTTTGATTAATATGAATAGACGGGAGAGAAAAAATGCTAAAAAGGCTGCAGCTAAAGCTTTGTTGATTAAGAGACGACAAGAGAGGAAACGACTTGCAACTGACTTTGTTCATTATGAAAATTGTAGCATTAGTGACTATTACTTTGATGGGATATTTAGAAAGGTTTTCTAAAATATATTTATTTATGCTGATAGGTGTTTCCCTATCATTTTGTCTTCAAAGCCTACGCAAAGGACAGGTGGCTCGGTCGTAAACTCCGTGATGTCCTGCAGTCTGAATTTAACAACAGTTCTGATGAATTAATCGTAAGAATTATTTTGATGCCGAGAAGATTTTTAGGCTAGAAGGTGTGAGTCTGGAGAAATCTTGGTGAATGATGCAAAGGTTGACCCTGACTATGTTCTTACTGATAGCGATCTACTCTCTCAGCGTGTCCATCGTCATGAGTGTCCTGTATTAAGTATGGTTTTGTTCTTCTTCACTATGCTTTCAAGACCTCCCCATAGAATTTGTGCATGATTCAGACGATTTGTTGGTGGTCAATAAGCCTCCATCCATACCCGTTCATCCTTGCGGTCAGTACACACTTAACAGCATTACACACATTTTGGCCAAAGATTATGGTCTTCGTCCCCTAAGGTTTACTCACCGCCTTGACAGGTATGTTAAATAACTATGAGTAATTTTCCACTCTATAAGACTATGATGAGGTGGTTGTGCAGCAGATTTCATGTATACTTGTGAGACTATAATTTATAGATAAATCAACCAGATATGACATTGCAATTCCTGAACTTTGTAACGCAATTCATTCATCCATATGGTTAGGTTTTACTTCGGCATTATAGCATGTTTCATAAAATCTGATTTAAGACTGTAGCGTATGTCGATTTGTGATAAAAACCTCAACTGATAACTCTAACTTCTAGTTCCAGTTTCTCACATTTATACCCTCATCTAAGTCATAGTAGACAGTTGATATTTCTCAAGGAGAACTTTATATTGCTCCGAGCACCTAGCTTTTTTAAAGGTTGGAAAACTTATTGTAAGATCCATCTTTTACATTATCCATGCTTCGAGCAGTGAGTTCTTACTGTCTCGTTTAGTCTGACAGCGCATAAGCCACTTCCTATCGGGATCCAGTCTAAGAGAGCTAATAGTGGGTGCGTCCTGTTGATGCGTCCCATACCAGGACGAAACGGCTGTCAAGTGCTTTCTGGCTTCTAATGGTGGTATATCATTGGTCGATTCATCGTTTCAGAGTAACTCAACAATCTCCACAACCTTATTATGAAAACTAGGTTTTATACAAAAGCATATAGCATTTAGCTCATTAAGATGAAAATGAATTTTGCTTAGCTCATCGTTAAATGATAAAATTCTTATGAAATTTACAATATTTCCATAATTATTTTGATCTCCTAAGTTGTATAAGTTTTATTCCATGTTTGTCTTACATTAAGTTAAATATGGATTTTAATCTGTCCTAATATTCAGTACCTGATATTCAAACTCGATATTTTTTTTATGATTTTAATAAAATCGATAGAATGACTTCTGGATTATTGTTAATCGCCAAAAACTATGATTTATCTGTACGTTTACAATCACAAATTGGCAGTAAGGAGGTATCAAAGGTACGTTTTGTCGTTATCTTCTGTGTCTGTTCTAAATCATCGATTCATATCGATAGTCTTGTTCCTGAATTTAAAGTCAAACTGTTTTTTCTCACTACTATTTCTGACAATAACTGACATACATAATATGGCTATTATGCTTAACAATACTAACTTATGACTAAAGAGACTATATAATTGTATTTATCAGTATATTGCATACAGTACAGTTGGAGCCGAAAGTTTGCTTAACAAATGAACTTTGTAATTCGCTATATACCTTAATCTATGATCTGTTCTTTATTCAGAAAACATCATTGATAGCTTTTATTCTCTGATCTAATAAATTTTCATCTCAACATTTGATTTAAATCTTTATATGACAATGTTTACAGTAGGCAATAGATTAGAGAAGTTCCTTAGATTCACTAGATCGACTGATTACAACCACTGCTGACTAAAGGACGAGTGTACTGCTCAGTGGTTCGCTCCGTCTTACTTTATGGCTGTGAAACATGGCCAATGAGAGTAGAAGATATTCGTAGGTTACTGGTTTTCGATCATAGGTGTCTTCGAAGCATTGCTCGTATATCGTGGGACACCCGAGTGAGCAACGCTGTTATTAGGAAACGGGTGCTAGGTAAGAATGGCAGATCAATAGATGAAGTACTGAAACTTCATCAGTTGAGGTGGTTGGGACATGTGTTGCGTATGCCCAACCACCGACTGCCTCGTCGAGCTTTGTTTTGTAGTGTAGGAATAGGTTGGAAGAAAGTTAGGGGCGGCCAAATCAAAACATGGCAGAAATCCATGAAGTCATTGACGAGTGGACTTAGCTATGTCGGTAGTTGTCGACTACCTGGTTGGGGTCCGCGAGATGATAATAATCGATGGTTATTGACCCTGAATGACATGGCTCAAAATCGTTCGCAATGGCGTCGGTGCATTTATTGTTTGTGTTCTCTCAAATCCTAATCTTCTGGATTCTTCAACCGCTCTAGGTTTTGACTTTCTAAACTTCTCTCACTGAATCATACTTTTTGAATGATATCTTCTAATCCTAACCTCTCCGAATACTTCTAATACCTTTACTACCTCTTCTACTATTGAATTTGAATTGACAATTATATCTCTATGCTGATAAGGTATGGCAACATGAACTGATGTACTTACGTACAAAGTTCTACGTTGCATCTGACTTCCTGACTTGACTGTTAACATCTAGTGAAATAAAATAATGCGAATGTTTTTGATTTCTTTAAACTACGATTGGCTAAAAACAATTATTTGTACCTAAGGATACTGTTGCAGTGCCCTTTACTGTATCATAAATTGTGTATTGTTTGACAGGAAACTCTCTCTAGATCTGATATATATTCCATAATGACGTCATAGGCATTCCCATTTGACACTTCTCAGTTTTTTGTTGATTAAGATTGGTTGTAAATGTAATCACCTTCAACATTTAAGTGGAAAATATTGAGTTTCATATCAAGAACCTTTGCTAAGTGTACCTACATCCTGTATTCAACGTGACAAAACTAGTCTGTTCGTTGACATATATATTTATGAATAAGTTACGTTTGTTCGTGGAACCAATGGATAACATATTTGTATATGTAGTTAGTCAATAAAAAGTATGGTCTGAGTTTATCTGAAATATTTTGAAGTCTTCATATCTTGGGTATCATTTTTCCTTAAGGCTACGTATATATTTTAACCTAAACTCATAAAACGAAGCTGATAACCATACAAAAAATGCGAAAATACTACAATTAAAGCTTAGATATCATCATGGAGTTCATCATCAACAGCGACGTAGAACTTTGCAGCTGCCATACCACATCAGCACAAAGATAATTGTCAATTCAAATCCCATAATAGTAGAGGTAGTAAAAGTATTAGAAGTAACCGGAGAGATTAGGGTTCGAAGATATTATTCAAGAAGTATAATTCAGTGACGTAAATTTAGAAAGAGAAAGATAGAGGTGATAAGGAATTCAGAAGGTTAGAATTTCATAGAACACAGAGTTAACATTAGATTACACTAAAGAAGTTCATCCACTGTCTATTTCAAACTAATTACCTTTTTTTAATATGAAAATAACCGTAATAATGATGTTTTTATTTCCTTGTTTTTATTTTATTTTATAAGTATTACATATGTCATGTTGATGGCTGTTTTCCAACTGAATCACCAATCGATCAATGTAATGGTGTTGAGATAAACAATGGAGTAGTGATTTGTAGTCAACCTGTCGGTCCTATCAGTCGTAAAATGGGAATACATGCTGTTATGCCAGAATCAGCTGGTGGAAAGTTTGCTCAGACACATTTCTTACGCTTAAGCTACAATCCTATCACGAATACAAGTTTGGTTATATGTCGTTTATTCACTGGACGTACACATCAAATTCGAATACATGTGCAGTATTTGGGTAATACAATACCTTAATATAACTTATATCCTAACATTTTTGGTACAATTATGAATGTATATAAAAGTAAACTAAGTTAGTTAATTTCTTAAGTCAGTCTGTACTCAAAACGAGAAACAGAAACACAATAACCTCGTTGCTAACTGCCTTGTAATTAGTGTTAGACATTCATTCAACACTATACATTCCGATAAAGATTGTTTTCGTAGTTATGTCTTATGCGTAGCCCCCAAATGCCGTGACACGGCTAAGTGGAGAGTTTGCTCTGCCTCTCCAAATGCTCTCATATGGTCACCCGTATATAGCTAATGCCAAGCGAGTTCTACTCATTTCATCTTCGCGGCAGGGGTGTTATTTTTCAATGAAAAACGAATGTCCGACGCTTAAATTGGGTTGGTGTTTGTGGAAGATTTACCTAGGGGGAGAGGTTGGAAAACACCCATTTAAAATCAATGGCGCTCCTGAGCTTAAGGATCACTAGGGAACAAATGACACATGAGCCTATTGTTAGTCACCGGCTACCATAAGACTACATCTCCTCACGTTGCTCCACTGCTTTTTGGATTAGACATTCAGCACGTGACCTCCTAATAAAATTACCTGCTTCAATTTGGGCACATGGGTACACACTAATCCCATGATTTATGTGGCGTGATAGGGCCCACGGTCAGTCGCAACTTTCCAGATGCTTTCACTGTTTGTCTCTCCTTGGATCTTGAGTTTTACACTTTACTATTTCTCGTAATTGTTTATTCTCAAATCATGTTGTCTATTCCTAATGGGTTTTATTACGACTCTGACATTTGTTTTAATAATTTCGTTTCCCCTTCCTGATATGATGTGGCAACTTGATGCGATGTACATATGTGTGATGTTGCAAATGACTGACTGAGTGATTATTGAGGGCTCATCGTAACTGATGAAATCCATCAGGTCAACATATAGATGAGTACCTCTCAACAATATGCATGGTTTTGAAGTGATCGGAGTTGTAGAATATTAATATTCCGTGCTTCAGCAAGTTTTAGAGTGAACTAATTGTCCTAAGTTCGGGCTTGTACCATGGAATTTTAACAGACTAGAATATAAGCATTTTTTTGGTTTTCCGTAGTCTCTATCACATCCTAAGATGACGTCAAACTATCAATGTTGAGAAATAATCAGCTTTATCGATCATCCCAACAGTTCAAGGTTGCGCGAAGTCGTGGATTGATTGAAGCTAGACAGATATTAACACCGTTGGATACCTACACGTTGGTCTATATGTTCGCGTTCACGCGCAAGACAAGCTATTGGGATCAATTCCTGCGTATGGGATCCTGGATGCACACTGATTGGGTAGTCATATAATAGGTCGAGACGGCCATCCAGTGCTTCCATGTTTCTAATGGGGACCCGGCTGGGACCAGTTTGTGATTTCAGTGAATGAACCTTGATTACTAATGAGTAATATAATTATGAAACAAAAAATTTCACATAAATGGTAGAGAGCAGAGCAACTAGCACATAATTAGATATAATATGAACATATAACAACAGTCAATATTAGGTCCTCCAAAGTCAGTCAAGATTTGATTGTGGCCGATTTAATCTCGTGTGCTTGTACAGGTATGAGGGTAGATGTTACTTCCCGGCTGCCCATACCGTGGAAGGGCTCTGGTTGTCAGAAGGGGGCATAGGTCTCGTGACTTCCGAAAGGACTCGGCTTTCATCATGAGACGTTATAACTCTTCTCAATGAAAACCTCCTCCTAACTCAGGGCAGAGTTTATATGGTTTGGTTTATTCTTTCTTGTTAGTGAATTAGTTTTCTACGGGATGGGGTCGCTAACACTCCTTTATCCAGGCTTGGGACCAGCAGTAGTAGCCTTGGAGAGGCTCCAGGCGGAGTTAGGTCCTCCGAAAGCTCACAATAAGGGGAAAACTACGGAAATACAACAATAAATTTATCTCATAACTATAGAATAAACATATAAATAATCCTGAAATGTTCCAACTTTCCCCCCTATATTCGTTCTGTTAACAACAACATTGTGTTTGAATGAGAATTACTTCATTTCTCTCTGTGTGTTTGTGCTATTTCTTGTCAGGTTTTCCAATTGTTGATGATCCCCTGTACAATTCAACAGATTGGGGTGAATTAAAAGGGAAAAATGCAAATTATGGAATGACTGTAGAAGAAGTTGTTCAAAAATTGAGTATTTCTCGTAACAGAGAAAAATACTACATTCAAGAGGTAAAATATTCTTCTAAACATTGATTATATATATATTATGCTAAATTTTTTTTCACATTCAATAAATCCTCACTCATTTTTTTGTTTCATGCATTGAATACACTTGAAAATTCTTTAAAGATCCACTTAAAATCACAGTAATGAGGAGGACCATCATTTACTTCGTAACTTGATTAATTTGAACTCAGACTGATTTTTTTGTTCATAATTTAGAGTTCAACGAAGTAGGAGGAGGTATTCAATGCAGAAAATTTCAAATATTTTTAGCATTTCTTTTTTCTTCCAAAATTACATGCTTCGTTCTATTATTCTTAATTCAATTTTGTATAAAAACAAAAGCCGAGTAAAAGAAAGGAGTGTTATTTTTCAACAATCCTTTGTTTAGTTATATTTAATTCTATGATTACTTACTTACTTACGCCTGTTACCCCCAATGGAGCATAGGCCGCCCACCAGTTTTCTCCAACAAACTCTGTCCTGGGCTTCCCTCTCCAGTTCTGTCCAATGTTTGTTATTCCTCTCTTATCTTTCTCTATTTCTCGGCGTAATGTGTTCTTTGGCCTTCATCTTTTCCTTTTGCGTTGAGGGTTCCATGTGAGGGCTTGTTTCGTGACGCAGTTAGGTGCTTTTCGTAGTGAGTGTCCTATCCACTTCCACCACTTCTTCCTGATTTCCTCCTCCATTGGAATCTGGTTTGTTCTCTCCCACAGTAGGTTGTTGCTGATGGTGTCTGGCCAACGAATACGAAGTATTTTGCGTAGACAACTGTTCATAAACACTTGTATCTTGTGGATGATGGCTTTGGTAGTTCTCCATGTTTCCGCTGCATAGAGTAGAACTGTCTTGACATTTGTATTGAAAATCCTGATTTTGGTTTTGGTTGAAAGTTGTTTGGAGTTGCAGATATTTTTCAACTGTAGAAATGCAGCCCTTGCTTTGCCAATCCGTGCCCTCACATCTGCATCGGATCCACCTTTTTTGTCGATGGTGCTGCTCAGATATGTAAAGGTGTTAACGTCCTCCAAGGCATGTTCATCAAGAGTGATTTGGTTGGTGCATGTTGTGTTGCATGGGAGAATTTTTCTTTTTCGTTTATGTATGTTGAGACCTGCTGCTGCAGAGGCTGCTGCTACACTGGTCGTCTTCTCTTGCATTTGTTGTTGCGCATTCTATGATTAATGACTATAAAAGTAGATTAAAGAAATCTATAACGTCTACAAAATGCTTAATTGACTTTTGCTTAGTATTAAAATTTTGATTCTCACAACATATAATTAATTTTAGTAGACATAAATTCAGTTCATATGGATTTATTTGACTCCGTTCGCTAACCAAAGGACGGATGTACTGCGCAGCAGTTCGCTCCGTTCTCCTATATGGCTGTGAAACATGGCCGTTAAGAGTAGATGTTCGTTGGGTGCTAGTATTCGATCATAGATGTTTAAGAAGCATTGCTCGTATATCGTGGGACAACCGAGTAAGCAATGCTGTTGTTAGGAAACGAAGGATGGCAGATCAATAGATGAAGGGGTGAAACTTCATCAGTTAAGGTGGTTTGGACATGTGTTACGTATGGCTAACCACCGACTGCCTCGATGAGCTTTGTTTTGTGGTGTAGGAATAGGTTGGATTAAAGCTAGGGGCGGCCAGACTAAGACATGGTACGAATCCATAAGGTCACTGACAGGTGGACTGAGTCATTTTATTAGATGTAGACTACCTGGTTGAGGTCCGCGAGGCGAAAGTCACCATTGGTTAGAGACCTTGAACGACATGGCTCAAAATCGTTTGCAATGGCGCAAGTGCATCCATTCGTTGAGCTCTCTCAAATCCTAATCTTCTGGATTCGTCAGCACCTCTACCTTTGTCTTTCTAACCTTATTTCACTTAATTATACTTCTTGAATAATATCTTCAAACCCTATTCTTCATTACCATTAATACCTCTACTATCTTTATCACTATGGGATTTGATTTAACATTTGCGTCTCTGTGCTAATGTGGTATGGCAACATGAACCTATGTACACACGTACGAAGTTCTACGTTGCAACTAACTAACTAACTAACTAAGAATCTCTTTAAAAGAATTACTCTGATTATTATGATGATCTACAATATTTTTATGACGTAAGCAATAAAAAAATACTATACTAATGCAGTTGATTGAATTTTGTAAAATGTCATAGTAGATAAAATTGTGTCTCAGTGAGTAGTAGCTTTCAGTTTGATCTTCAAGATGTTTTCCAATGTAATGTTATGAGCTTGTGTGTGTGTGTGTGTTGTTTTCTATTCCGAACATCTATCTTAGTTTGTTCAACTTATTCATACATCTCTAATTCTATCGAGGTAAGTGTGAAGTGCATAGTTAAACAGTTAGTTGTGTAAATAAAACTAAGTATGTCACATGAGTTTGTTTGCATATGATCAGATATGTTTATCTGATGAATAGCTTGAATTCATAGTATAGGGTTTTTGTGTGAGGAAATTCTCAGAGTTCTAGTTGAAAAGCAGTGACCATTGGAGTTTGACTGTGTCGGAGACAATAGATGAGATCAGGCAATATCGTGGATTGATTAGCGTTAGACAACAAGACTGTTAGATCTCGACTGTGTGGTGTAGAGGATAAGCGTTCACGCGCGAGGTCGAAGGTCCCGGGGCTCGTGAATGTGCAGTCAGTCAGTCAGATGCAACGTAGAACATAAATGCACCGACGCCATTGCAAACGGTTTTGAGCCATGTCATTCAGGGTCTCTAACCATCAGTCAGTCAGTCAGTCAGATGCAACGTAGAACTTTGTACATAAGTACATCAGTTCATGTTGCCATACCACATCAGCACAGAGAAGTAATCGTCAATTCAAATCCAATAGTAGAAGAGGTAGTAAGGGAATTAGAAATAATCGGAGAGGTTAGGATTAGAAGATACTATTCAAGAAGTATGATTCAGTGAGAAAAGTTTAGAGAGTCGAAACTAGAGGGGTTGAAGAATCCAGAAGACTAGCATTTGAGAGAACATAGAGAATAAATGCACCGGCGCCATTGCGAACGATTCTGAGCCATGTCATTCAAGGTCTCTAACCATCGATTATTATCATCTCGCGGACCCCAACCAGGTAGTCGACAATTACCGACATGGCTCAGTCCACTAGTCAATGACTTCATGGATTTCTGCCATGTTTTGGTTTGGCCGCCCCTATCTTTCTTCCAACCTATTCCCACACTACAAAACAAGGCTCGACGAGGCAGCCGGTGGTTGGGCATACGCAACACATGTCCCAACCACCTCAACTGGTGAAGTTTCAATACTTCATCGATTGATCTGCCATTCTTACCTAGTACCCGATTCCTAATAACAGCGTTGCTCACTCGGGTGTCCCACGATATACGAGCAATGCTTCGAAGACACCTATGATCGAAAACCAGTAACCTACAAATATCTTCTACTCTCATTGGCCATGTTTCACAGCCATAAAGTAAGACGGAGCGAACTACTGCGCAGTACACTCGTCCTTTAGTCAGCAAACGGATATCTCGCCTACGCCATAAGTGACGCAGGTTGGCAAAAGCCAATCGAGCCTTCTGTATCCGAGCTGAGATTTCGTCTGTCACCAGGCCATCGGCACTGATGAGACTCCCAAGATAAGTGAAGCTGTCTACACGTTCGACTACTTCACTCCCTATCACTAGTTCAGGTGCCGATGCAACCCAGTCTTGAAGCAACATTTTGCATTTCGAGGGGGAAAACCGCATCCCGAACATGCTCGCATTGTTGCTTAGGGTAGTCAGAAGACTCTGCATTTTGTCAGCGTCTTCACCAAGTAGGACTATGTCATCGGCATATTCTAAGTCAATAAGCGAGCCACCTGGTAGAAGGTCTACTCCTGAAAATTCAGACGAGGATAATGTTAACTCTAGGAGCATGTCTATGATAAAATTAAACAAGAATGGAGAAAGTGGACATCCCTGACGGACACCACTTGAAGTAGAGAATTCCGGTGACAGTTCGCCATAAGCCCTCACCCGACCAGTGGTGTTCGAGTAAAGAGCTTGTATAAGGTTAATGTACTTCAGTGGTACACCTTTCAATGACAGACACTGCCACAGAACCTCACGATCAACAGAGTCAAATGCCGCCTTAAGGTCCAGGAAAACAACTATTGTAGGACGCCTAAATGTGTGTCTATGTTCCAGGACCTGTCTGAGTGTGAAGACGTGGTCTATACAGCCACGTCCAGGTCGAAAACCAGCCTGGTTTTCTCTAGTCTGCTCTTCACGAGCTTTCGTTAAGCGTCGAAGTATTATTGAGGCCAATATTTTAGATACTATATTAGTTAGACTTATTCCCCTGTGATTGTCACAAGAAGACTTCTGTCCTTTCTTATAGATTGGGACAATCAAGGATTGAGACCAGTCGGATGGGATTACGTCCAGTTCCCAGATTCTACCTAAGATCTCAGTCAATCTAGCTGCTAAAACTGGACCACCATCCTTAAATATCTCAGGGGTCAGTCTATCAGGACCTGCAGCTCGTCCTCGTTTCAGATTTCCTAACGCTTTCTCAACTTCACAAATACTAGGGGGACTTACGTCGATTTGCCATTCAGGATGACTGGAGATCGTGGGTAACCGAAGAGTGGCTCGTGGCCAGTTGAACTGATCTCTAAAGTGTTCTGCCCATCGATCCAGTCTCCTGGATTGAGAATAAATGAGAGTCCCGTCATTTTCCGAGATAGTCTCACTTACACTAGGATTCCTAATACCAGTTTCCTTGATAAGTCGGAAAAGTTGTCTACTGTTGCCTATCGCCGCTGCCTTTTCCATCGCTTTTGCTTTCGCCACCCACCACTGCTCGCGGTCGTTACGCAGACTTTTTATAAGTCTGCGCCTAAGCTGACTACGCTCTTCATCATGCTCAGAGTCAGGTGGGATGCGTTTTCGAGCATCCATCAGTTCGGTGGATGCTACTGAGATCCACGGTTTCATTCTAGCCTTATGGTCAACCTTACTAGCAGATATCACTGCTGTTTCCACAGCCTTTTTGATATCATTCCATCCTGCTTCCGGATGGGAATCGCTTAAATGGTCGCCTAACTGTCTTTCTAGTTGCTCCTGAAATATTTTCTTGGTTTGATTATCATTAAGTAAAACCCTGAGAGGCTTTCTTACGGTGTCTTTCCTACGTCCAGTAAGCCTTAAACAGATACGAGCTCGCACTAGAGCATGATCTGAATCCAAACTTGTGCTCCAGAACGAGCGACAGTCTTCTATCGAACCCCTCCATCGGTGGCTGATGGCGATGTGATCTAGTTGAGTCCAACGTTGAGACGACTTCGGGGGTCGCCAGGTCAACAGATGCTTTTCCTTATGCCTAAAGTTGGTGTTCGCTAAGAATAGGCGGTTATCTGAGCATAGTTGCAACAGACGGTCACCATTGTCTGTTCTCTCAGTCGCTACACCATAACATCCACCAAGATGTCTTTCCTTTTCACCTAGTCTACCTACTTGAGCATTAAAGTCACCAGCCATTATTACTATGTCAGAGCGCTTAGCTTTTTGGAGGAGGTCCGAAAGCTTTCTGTAAAACTCATCCTTAACCTCGTCTGCACTGCAGTCAGTGGGGGCATAGGCAGATATGACGAAGAGGCAACGGCGAGTGTCCCTATCCTTCCGAGTCCTTACTGTCCCGTTTAGTCGGACAGCGCACAAACGACTATCTACTGGGATCCAGTCTAGGAGAGATTGTTCTGCCCTAGGACTCAACGCTATGCCTACGCCAGCAAGACCCCTGGAAGCAGCATCAGGGCTACCGGATACACGAAGAGTAAATCGAACTGCTTCTTCGTTTTGACAAGGTGGAATCAGGTTAATGACTTTACTAGGATCCTGTATGCGCGTTTCCGAGACGCAGCATACATCGATGGCACGAGATTCTAAAGTCCTAGCTAATGATGCCTGTTGCCCTATTTGACACAATGTCCGTACATTAAAAGCTCCAACATGTAGTCTAGAACGGGGTTTCAAGAGACCAGGAACGACGTTTCGTGATCTCGCTTCGTCTGCATTAGCGGTGCAGTGAGAAAAGGGAGTGTGAGTACAGTTAGTCGTAGAGATAAGAGAGACATGAGGGGGTGTAGGAAGGATTTGATTTTGACCAATTTGGTCTCGCGTGCTGGTACGGGTATGAGGGCGGTAGTCACTTCCCGGCTGCCCACACCGTGGAAGGTTGTTTCTTGACGAACCTGAAAAGGAAGATGGATTAGTGTTGGTGCGTGACCGCAGAGTCCAAGGGACAACTGCTTGAGGCCGGTCACACACGGCCTTTTTATGAAACGTTTTTTGAGGATTAGCTCCGTTCTTAAAGGCCCTTTGTGGGCACCCTTACCCAAGGAGACGGAAATCCGTGAGTTAGGGGGAGTGTGACATTTTTAGGGCCGACCTTTTCTAACCCTTCCTTCCTTGTGAGAAGGCAGCATCGCTGCAGATGCTGGTTGTCCGAGGGAAACACCTTACTGCTGTCACACCCCTCTGCAGTCAGCAGTACGACTTCGCCCTCAGACCTTGGGTAGCTGCTTTTAGTCTCATCGTTCTCCAATCGACCAGCCTGGCATGGTAGGACCTGCAGGAACATATGTTCCAGCCAGTATAGCTCGGTTGGGTCATCACGATAGGCAAGCCCGACCACCACGTCAAGGTAGCAGCTTCGGTCGGGCTCTAACCATCGATTATTATCATCTCGCGGACCCCAACCAGGTAGTCGACAACTACCGACATGGCTGTCCACTCGTCAATGACTCCATGGATTTATGTCATGTTTTGGTTCGGCCGCCCCTAACTTTCTTCCAACCTATTCCTACACTACAAAACAAAGCTCTTCGAAGCAGTCGGTGGTTGAACATACGCAGCACATGTCCCAACCACCTCAACTGATGAAGTTTCATCACTTCATCTGTTGATCTGCCATTCTCACCTAGCACCCGGCTCGTGAATGTGCATTCTTGATGAGTCCAATACTAGGACGAAACGGCCATCCAGTGCTTCCAGGTTTCTAATGCTGGTCTAACATTAATCGATTTTGGATTTCAACGAAGCTTGAATTTAAAAGGGAAAAGTTTTCACAAGTTTCATGGATATATTTATTCTGTCTTATACATCCTGACAAATTAATTGATACATTGATCTTCCTTTATCCAGAGAGCAGTACACGTGGTACAATTAACGAAAAACTTTAATTTTTTTTCCACACCATAAATACATATTGTATATTCATGCAAATTTCCCAAGCCTATTTGTATATGTGGTCATTCAGTTGGTATCATTAAGTCAAACACAAACACTATAACTCAAACCTGAGTACATGAACCTGTACTCTGTAAATAGAATGTACTATTTACTTATATGTTTATTAAAATACGCAATTATCATCACAAAGTGATGTCAATATATATATATATATATATATATATATATATATATATATATATATACCAAAAATCATTGAATTTGTGTTTGGGTTAGAATACTTCCCGGCTGTCCGAACCGAAGCAGTTTAGTTTTGTTACAGGGTTATCCAACCCACTTAAGTGGAGTCATCGTACTATTTCTTCACTTGTTTATTATCGTTTAAAACTAACTGGCTCCAGAAAAAAAACTATCAGAGTATGTGATTATAATGTAGCCCACAATTATCAAGTGCAGGTTTATTTATTTATTTCTGAGTGCCAATGGGTTGTTTGCTATCTGGCTACCCAAACTAGAATTGATAGATCAGTACTCGAACTGTAGTGAAGGAGAACACAGGTGAGGGCAACCGAATTGTATTTATCGCAAATTACAGAGTTACTCAGTAAAATAGGAAAACCATATTGTAAATCGTTAATTTGCAAATCTTCAATCCATTGTCTGACATTTCACTTATTCATGCGTTTCATACAAATTCCATTGTGTTCTTCTAACTCTTCTTCCTTTCTTGATCTTCCCCCATCTTCTGCTGCCAGACATTACGTTTTCACTCGCGTCATATACTACTTATAAGTAGCGCGTACCACAGAACCTGTAACTTAATAGTTGAAATTCAAAATGCTTCATTACTAAGTCACTGTTGCACCCCAGGGTATTAAGTTCATCATTTTTCTTTTGAAATTGATACTTTTCAGTGATATTTTACGAAAATATTACTACTTTATTATAATTACATTGGATCTTTGGTTGTTTTCCTTTCTAGACCAGTGAAAAGTCAGAAACGTCACTAGATCCAAGTATAACAGAACGTTTACAATTATGCAAAGATCCATTATGCCCTGATTGTAAATTGACTTTTAAAAATCCAGAAATGAAACATTTAATACTACGATTACATGCTTATCGTTATAGTGGATCAGATTGGCATTTTTCTGCACCTTTGCCGAATTGGGTTTTAGATGAAAATGTAACTGATTTACATGATAAAATAGAAAAAGCAATTGAACAATTATAAGCGGCTTTCTTTTTTTATCATGTACATTTATCAGCTTTTCTTTTTTTATTCACATATGTATAGTTTTATTCTATTTTTCTACATGTATTATAGTCTATTCTACTCTTCTTTTATGTCAATATACCTTACATGACTGATTGTCAGTTAGTCAGTCAGTTGCGACGTAGAACTTTGTACGTAAGGTACATCAGTTCAGGTGTATGGCACAGAGATGCAATTGTCAGTTCGAATCTCATAGTGGTAGAGATAGTAGAAGTACTACTGGTAATAGGGAGGATTAGGATTTCAAGATGTTATTAATGAAGCATAATTCAGTGAGATAAGGTTAGAAAGACAAAGGTAGAGGTGTTGATGAATCCAGAAGATTAGAATGTGAGAGATCAAAAAGAGTGGATGTACCTGAGCCATTGCAAACGATTTTGAGCCATGTCATTCAAGGTCTCTAATCATTGGTGACTTTCGCCTCGCGGCCCCCAACCAGGTAGTCGACACACCCCTACATGACTCAGTCCACTAGTCAGTGACTTCATGGATTTGTGCCATTTCTTGGTTTGGCTGCCCCTAGCTTTCTTCCAACCTACTGCTACACCACAAAACAAAGCTCGTCGAGGCAGTCGGTGGTTAGGCATTCGTAACACATCTCCCAACCACCTCAACTGATGAAGTTTCAATACTTCATCAATTGATCTGCCATCCTTACCTAGCACTCGTTTCCTACCTACTCGGTTGTCCCACGATATACGAACAATCATTCTTAAACATCTATGATCGAATACTAGTAACTTACAAACATCTTCTACTCTTAACGGTCATGTTTCGCATCCATATAGTAGAACGGAGTAAACAACTGCTCAGGACACCAGTCCTTTGGTTAGCGAGCGGATATCTCGCCTACGCCATAAACAGCGTAAATTGGCAAAAGCAAATCGAGCTTTCTGTATCCGTGCTGAGATTTCGTCTGTCACCAGGCTATCAGCGCTGATGAGACTCCCCAGATAAGTGAAGTAATCAACACGCTCGACTACTTCACTCCCTATCACTAGTTCAGGTGCCGTTGCAAGCCTATCATGAAGCAACACTTTGCATTTCGAGGTTAAGAACCGCATCCCGAACATGCTTGCATTGTTGCTAATGGCAGTCAGAAGACCCCATATTGTCAGCGTCTTCACCGAATAGAACTATGCTATCAGCATATTCTAGGTCAGTAGGCGATTCTCCTGGCAGAAGTTCTTTCCCTGAAAAATCTGACGAGGATAATGTTAACTCCAAAAGTATGTCTACGACCAAGTTAAACAAGAATTGAGAGAGTGGACATCTCTGACGAACACCAATTGAAGATTACTGATTGTGCTTAGTAGAAATATTTGTGTTTTATTTTAACGTACTTTTGATGATATTTTCATGTACAAGCTATTCAAAACTGTTTCACTTCTATTTCACTGTCAGCTAAGTCTTATTCGTTACGCCTAACTAAACAGTATTGAGAAATAAAATGTATGTTCAATATTCTGACTGGTCGTTCTCTTATACGTGACCGATATTACCATCCAATGACATCATATCTCCAGTTGACATGAAGAACGCATATATGCGGATTACCTCGATATATCAATTAAGTCACATGCGTTATAAGTCGTGATGGATTAGTGGCTAGTAGCGGAATCCAGGAGGTGCGTTTGTTCCATTTGAGACTCATCAGGTGGGTATACTTGTGTAGTGGATGGTACTGATGAGGTGGAATATGAATACTATGCAGATTAGCGTTGCCTAGAAGTCGCCACCAAAGAGAAGAATGAAAGAAGAACGATATTCACGACGTGATCAATGCAGTTTGGAGACCAGAAGACACGGAGGTGAAGATAGTCAATAATCTAATTGTTTTGTAAATGGATCTTTAAAGATAACGTGTACATATTTTGTTGATGAATTGTGTCTTCTCTGCTATGCTCTTGGACGCCTCTAGCCAGCCAAGAAATATTTCCTCATGACTGTTACAGTCTGTCAGCGGGACATAGATTAGATTAAGCATGGTTGCGTTGTTGTTGCACGCTGATTGGCTCTGATAACCCTCATTCCTTTAGATCATGAATCACGGCGTCCGCCTACTTGTTCGAGAAGTGATAAAAATAGAATTAAAAGCATATGATAGTGAAAATGGGTAATTGCTATTTCATTGGTTAAAATTATTTTTATTAACCTTCAACGTTAAGATCGATGACTGACATGTAATTAATTACTCTATCGGATCTTACTACTCATGTGTACTTGCACTTTTTATGACACCTGTGTTTGTGTGTATGTTTGTCTGACGATCTTATTGTATTAGATGTGTTTTTTTTCTAAATGATGGATGACTCATCCTCTTGTGATTCATACATCAGTTGTCTAATCCATGCCAGCTTGATTTTGATTTGTGGACTATTAAATTTGAAATACAATTTTAATGTTCTACTACTCCGCTTGTTGTAACTTTTCTAGTTTTACAATAGGGTTCATTTGAATAATCTGGTTATTGGATAGAATACGTCAATGCTAAAAACAAGGCAACCGAAACTATGGTTGTATACAACAAATAGGTTCAGTCATATATTCTCCGTAAAATATTACACGAAATTATTACAAAAGCTTAAACAAAGAATGTGATGTTTCAGTACATTGCTCAGTCAAGTTTACGCACTCTCATGTCATATTTTCAAATTAATCAACGCTCATTTCGACATTTGATTAAAAAAACATGATCACATGAAAACAGCTGACTTATAAGCAAAAAACATTGATGAATAGAGAATTGAGAAATTTGAGCGGGTAAACTGGTTATCGAGAATCGGTACTCTGGATTACCAAACTTGGAACCTTTACTATTTGATTCCAACGTTAAAATATTATCCATCAACTTATACATTCGATTCAAATGTTTCTAACTAAACAAATAATTTATGATTATTAGTTATTTCTCATTAAACAACCGAACATTAATTTAGATAGTCAAACGTATATAGTAAGGTTCCTTACTTTGACTCAGATTTCTAAACACCTATTAAATTATGAATGAGGTGTCAGAGTTATGACGGTATTCGTTGCTTACCGATTGCTTATACAGTGGGAAGATTTCTTGAGACGAGAAAAGTAAACGAGGGTGGTTGTGATATCAGCGACTAGACAGTGTGATTGCAAAACCAAAAAGGATAAATGCTTGAAGCCTATGGTACAAACAGCCTTTTTGTGAAGTCTTTTGATGTGTTAGCTATGTACTTCAAACGCCATTACCACCAGCGACAAAAATCAGTGGGGTAAAATAAAGTGTGGTAATTTTAGAGTCGACATTTCCTAACCATTATTTCCTTCCGTTATGAGAAGGCAGCACCGCTCATTTGCTGACTGTCACGGAGGAACATTCTATTGTTGTAACACCCCTGTATATTTAGGAGTACGATTTTGTGCTTGGACCCTAAGTTGCTTCCTTTATTCTTACCTGTCAGGTATGTCACTAAAAAGCTAATACACAATACAACCTTTGGCAATAAGACTAGTAGGACTGTCCCTCAAGTCACAAAGCAAAATCAGGGGAAGAAAAAAAACCTTTCATCCAATAAATATCAAAATGCACACAGAGAGCATGTGAATTTATAGTTTTTCTTACAGATTGAAAACATTATCCAATCCGCAATTAGCGATGCTACATCGTCATCCGAATCTCCTTGCACCACACTGAAATTTTATCGAGCTGTGATTGGATGGAAGCGATTCGGATACTTGGGAGCTTCTGTGAGTTCTCAGTCAACTTGCTTGGCATGGTGACACGTAAAGAAACAAGTATTCCAGCAAAAATAGACCGACTATATGCAAGCCAAATCATCACATCAAGGTAGCAACTATGGTCGAGACTATACACTTGACTCAAAGACATTGTATGCTGAGGATTATACACTAATGGATAATATTCACATCGTAATGTTAGTTGTGTGGTTCCCCTTCTTTACACAACATCCAAAAAACAGAAGCGTTGTTTGTTTTTTTTTCAAACTTTTGACACAGTACTTATGCAGTAGTGTACATGAGTGAATCACATGGTTACATACATGTTTAAAACGAAAATGACAGAAATCACGCCAGTAACACAAACATAATGACTAAGAGAAATAATGAATTGACGTTAACTATGGAAAAATAAGAGTGGAATGTGTGTATGGATAACGAAATTCAAAAAAGATTTGCTGACATGTATCATGTCAGTGGATAAGTGTAGGGATAAAATCGATGCCGAAAACTATGTGATGATGATATCTGTTGTGTTGTTAGAGTAATATTGGTAAATTAAAAAACAGTTAATGAGTGATTGATTAGATTAAATGTGAATAAGACAGGGCTTAATCAAAGAAAGTATGTAGAATTCATGATCATAGACTTTGGTTGACTGTTGAGATATTTTCTCATCAAAAATATCCTAAGAGAAATCATTCTTTTTGGAAGTCTAATTCTATTGGTCAATATTATGGTCGTCCTAGATATTAATGTCACGCACTTCATATGTAGTTTCCCATTGGTCGTCGTAACTATCAAAGTCACAGACTTCAATGTTGTTTCCTATTCGACCTAATTGTATAAATATGCATTATCTGTAAAGCTTATTATTCCATTCATTCCTTCCTTCTGTACTCGACGCAATAAACAATTTCATCTAAGGGTGTTTTGTTATGACATATTGGAGATTTGGGAACAGTATTTGCGGTCGTCATACGGAATTCTTATGATGGATTCAACTGCAAAATCGTGCACGGAGGTCAGCTGACAAACTCGTTTGAAGTTAAGACCAGTGTCAGGCAAGGTTGCTTACTTTCACCCTTTCTCCTTCTCCTGGTGATCGACTGGATTATGAAAACGACAACACCTGGAGGGAAGCACGGTATTCAGTGGACAGCTAGGACGCTGTTGGACGATCTGCACTTCGCAGATGACCTGGCTTTTCTATCGCACACTCAACAACAAATGCAAGAGACGACGACCAGTGTAGCAGCAGCCTCTGCAGCAGTAGGTCTAAACATACATAAAGGAAAAAGCGAAATTCTCCGATGCAACACAACATGCACCAAACAAATCACTCTTGATGGAGATGTCTTAGAGGATGTT